ATGACTCAGGCATCCAGAAATCCATTGAAGAGAACCTGAGCCCTTGGGAAGATGCCTGGGATGTAGAGAAGGCATTGGCAGACCCCAAACTGACTGACCCCCTGGACGACATCTCCAACAAATATTTCTCGAAACTGGGGTCCTCCATGCTGGATAAGGAGAAGAACCAAGCCTCTCCTCTGACTTTCACCCTAACAGCTATGCATGGTGTTTCACATGACTACATGGTGGAAGCTTTCAAGGTGTGCGGGTTTAAGGTGAGGAAAATGAGCAGGGATTTTTTTATGGGGCTTTGGTGGTACTGCCATTGAACTCGAATGTTGTATGAAGTGTTGCGGGTAGGCTCTAGGTGTTCTGAATGAGTAAGGACGTTTCATATGTTTAGGAGAAAGAAAAAGATTCTTCCGTAATAAAGGAGGTAGGTCTTGAATATGAGTATTTTAAAGTTTTCAGCATCTATTATTGCTTAAGGTTTTAATTTATCCCATCAATAAAGTGATCAATTTCTGAGGTTGTAGTACTTGAGAACTCTAATTCAGTTTCTTGACTCTTAGATATGCACAAAATATAAACACCTACTGCCAGTCAGAGACCCAGCCAAGAAATGCTATTTTACAGAGAAGAAAGCAAGCAAGTAACAAGTAAATGAATAACAAGGAAAGTAAGTAACAAGAAAAAAAGAAAGTAAATCTCTCAAGCAAAACAATTAACAAAGAATCAAGCATGGAACTAATGACAGTAACACTTCTTCTTGCAGCCATTTGTCCCTGTGAAGGAGCAGATGGTACCTGACCCTGAATTTCCAACAGTCAAGTTCCCCAACCCAGAAGAAGGCAAGAGTGCGTTGGATCTCTCCTTCAAAACAGCAAATGAAAATGGTTCATCTGTCATTCTGGCTAATGATCCCGATGCAGATAGGTTGGCAGTGGCTGAGAAGTTGCCGAGGTATGTGATGTCTTGGATATAAATTAGTATTTTTGTTATCATTTTTATTATTATTGTTATTATTATTATTATTATTATTATTATTATTATTATTATTATTATTATTATTATTATTATTATTATTGTTATTGTTATTATTTTATTATTATATTATTGATGTTATTATTATAATTTTACTATTTTATTCTCATATTTCTTTTTTTTACATGACTGATTGAGAAAAGAAATTAATGGGGAATGTTTTAAATTTGTTGATACATTTTAATATACTGAATTTTTTATTTTGTCATTGTTTATTTTCATGGAAATGAAAAAAAATTATGTGTTTTGAACAGGATATACATATATCATAATGACTATTGTTATATTTCATAGTTTTAAGAGTTGAAAACTAAGACAAAGAAAAGGAAAGAAATAGGGATGTAGAAAAATCTATAAATTAGAATAGCTAACTTAAAAAGCAAGAGCTGTAATTTATATTACAGAATTACATGTGATTCCAAAGAAGCAAAACATAGAGATGCTTTAGTTAGTCTTTAGTATATTAATTTATTAATTGCTGTTTATACTCCTTACAATGAAAAAGAAACAAAGAGAGATAAAGGAGAAAGAAATAGAGGACTGAATTATAATTAATTGCCCTCTCAGTGGGCAGTAGGAGGGGCTTACAGGTGTTCAGTAGTAGAAGCAGATGTATTTAATATGTGCATAAGATCACCTAATTAGCATTCTTTATGAATCTATATTAAAAGAAATGAAAAGGGAGCAAAGAACTTTCTTTTCAGTTTTATGAGAGCAATTTACTTCAGGAACATCTTCCTTTACAGTGGACAGTGGAAGGTGTTCACAGGTAACGAGGAAGGAGCCTTGCTGGGTTGGTGGGCATGGCAACGCAGTCGTCAACTCTCTCCAGACATTCCAACCAGTGACTGCTACATGATTGCATCCACTGTCTCATCAAAGATTCTGAGAGCCATAGCAAGCAAGGAAGGATTTAATTTTGAGGTGTGTTAATGACAAGATGTCATTATATTGTATTTAGGTTGTTTTTTCTTTTCTCTATAATTGGTAAATGCTATTGTGGTATACAAGAGTCTTTGTTATACCTTGTTAAAGCCATGCTCTTTAGAAAGATCACAGCTGAAGGTATTTCATTTCTTAAGTTCTGCAAGAAAATGAGAATATGACTTATTCATTAAGTATTTATTAATATTGTTTTTTATTGTATATATATATGAACAACATGATTGTTATGATTCTCTTCATGAAGCACAAAAATTATATTTGAGGAAAAGAATCATGTTTATTGTGTGCTATGATTTTTTTAAGTGAATTTATGGATTGACATAATGTCTAGCCTTTACTTAACCCAATGCTGCTGGGAAAATGTTGTGTTCACTTTAGTATTGCTTTCTTAAATCTTTCTGCACATAGATGGCTCTGCCAGTGCTTAGCCACAAAGGAGTCAAATAGTAGATCCTGTGACCTCACTTTTCCTTGAAGTAGTAGGAAAATGTTGTTTTTTTAAATAATACTATCAGTATTGATACTATTAATTTTCATATAAACATTATTACGATATTGTTGCGGACATTATTAACCCAGTGCTGATGGGTAAAAATGTTTGTTAAGTGGACATAACAACGGAATTCTTGGCGCGCATTGGCAGTTTCCCCAGTTTGTGCCCTGCGCGATCAGTAGTTTGCGAGTGACATTTGGCACCTAAAAGCTTTTATTTTGCTATGATTTATAAAAATATTATAATTTTGAAGGTTTACCTACATTATACGTGCCATAGCCTAAAATCTTTACCATATAAATGAAGTCACTATTATCGGAGAAAAACAAACATGCCACCCGTCGGCTACGGGTTAATAGCAGTATTAATGACTTGAAAATATTAGTGAAAATTAAAGAAAAGGGTAAACAGGAGAGACAGGTACTTTTTGTAACTGGCTCATTAGTGACCTAGTACTTGTGGAGCCATCTATGCGTAAAAACAATTACGAAACTAAACACACAGTGTGCATTGCATGTACGCACATACCCTCCCCGTTGGCATGTGGTTAAATAATGTGCTAATATTGGTTTTGCTTTATTCTGTATTATGTAGTCTAATCTCACTTCATCTTGTTTTATAATCAAGAAAGAAAAAAGAAAAAGATGTGCAGATTAAAACTGCACCAATAATATTTTCTAGGATTTAACCCTTTCTTATCCCATCAGTTAGACTGAAATTTATTATCTCTGAAATTTATTATCTTAAACAGGAAACCTTAACAGGCTTTAAATGGATGGGTAACAAAGCCCACGACCTGATCAAGGACGGCAAGACTGTTCTCTTTGCCTTTGAAGAAGCCATTGGGTTCATGAATGGCAGTGAGGTAAGGCAAAGGGCAAGGAGTTTAGGGAATGCCTGAATAGGTAGAAAATTGTATTTCATCTTTTCATGTGATTAAGGTTCTTGATTAAACATGATTTTACAGAATGTGACATCGATTTTACATTCATAAATCTGGACAAATATATTTTGTGCTCTTTATTATGTATTGATATAAAGGGATATCTTTATAATTTAGATATTTGTGATATGGATGACTTGGGTACATATCTGGGATGCTTTTGATATTTTTTATCAAGTGCTGCAAACAACATATATCTTTTTTTTCCCCTTTGAGGGAAGATTAATTGCTTATTTCTGTGTATCTATCTATTTTTATTCTTTTTTTTTTTTTTTTTTTTTTTTTTTTTTTATCCAGGTCTTAGACAAGGATGGTGTCTCAGCTGCGATGCGTCTGGCCGAAATGGCAACTGTCCTAAAAGCAGACCATAACATGACACTATTTGACAAACTGCAGGATATTTACAAGACGTATGTTTTCATTTGTTATATTCGCTGCTAGAATCAAGGTCAAATTTATTAAGTGGAAGAATATATCTAGTTTTATTACCTTCCCCCCCCAATCTCTCTCTCTCTCTCTCTCTCTCTCTCTCTCTCTCTCTCTCTCTCTCTCTCTCTCTCTCTCTCTCTCTCTCTCTCTCTCTCTCTCTCTCTCTCTCTCTCTCTCTCTCTCTCTCTCTCTCTCTCTCTCTCTCTCTCTCTCTCTCTCTCTCTCTCTCTCTCTCTCTCTCTCTCTCTCTCTCTCTCTCTCTCTCTCTCTCTCTCTCTCTCTCTCTCTCTCTCTCACTCTCTCACTCTCTCACTCTCTCACTCTCTCACTCTCTCACTCTCTCTCTCTCTCTCTCTCTCTCTCTCACTCTCTCTCACTCTCTCTCACTCTCTCTCTCTCTCTCTCTCTCTCTCTCTCTCTCCTCTCTCTCTCTCTCTCTCTCTCTCTCTCTTCTCTCTCTCTCTCTCTCTCTCTCTCTCTCTCTCTCTCTCACTCTCTCACTCTCTCATCCTCTCACTCTCTCACTCTCTCACTCTCTCACTCTCTCACTCTCTTTCTCCCCCTCCTCCCCTCACTCACTATCATAATATTCTACTTATCCTTTCAGATATGGATATCATGTCAGCAACAATTCATACTACATCTGTCATGATCAGAGGGTTATTAATAAGATGTTTGAGAGAATAAGGAATTTCAATGGACCAAACACTGTGAGTATCTGTTACAATGATTATACTACTTCAGAAACAAAATGCAGGGATGATGACTAAATTATCATTCATCTGTACATATTTTTAAAAAATCATATATATATATTTATATATATATATATATATGTATATATATATATGTTATATATATATATATATATATATATATTATATATATATATATATATATATATATATATATATATATATATATATATTTATATATATATATTCATATATATATATTTATATATATATATATATATATATATATATATATATATTATATATATATATATATATATATATATATATATATATATATATATATATATATATATATATATATATATATATATTATATATATATATATATATATATCTATGTATATATCTATATGTAATATCTATATCTATATATATATATATATATATATATATATATATATATATA